GAAGTCTATTCATCTTTGTAACAAGTTAGATTATTGTAAGCTTGAATCTTTATCTATTTTTAAATAAATCAATCATGTTATTTATTGGTTACATCTACTAGAGTCTATAAAAATCCATCATGTATTCTTCATGTTTCTTTTTAAATATATAAAACAATGAATATCTCAAAAAAAAAGGCAAATGCCACCTCTTCCTATAGAAGTGGATAATAATTAAGAGTTTGAAGTAGAAGAAGTCTTAGATTTAAGGTGATGCCAAAATAGATTAAAATATCTTATTCATAAGCATGAATATGATATTAATGAATTCATGTATAAGCCAACAAATAAACTTGCAAATGTAGCAAAAGAGATTGAGATTTTTCATTGACAACATTCAATAAAATCAAGATAAAAAATAATAAGATCCATGAAAGATGATGATTGCTCCTCATAGAATTTATCTTTAGAAGAGGGATAATGTCATGGACATACATATTTACTATAATAATTATCTATATGATTAGATAGAAGTAGATAAAAGTAGATTAATTTCATAATATCTTTTAGAAAAGCATCTTAAGCCTAATAGAGTCAGTTTTTATTTTATATGGATTTGTAATTGATTAGTATGTTAGAAACTTAGTCAGTAAATTAACGACATATCATATATGTTGGTAGGTTATGGAATAAGCTAACTATGTAGTATACATATAAAAAAACTCACCTTGCAAGTTAAGATATGTGTATTATAAAGTGAATATGTGTTGAAGGTCCCATAGAATATTGCCACATAGCTCTTAGTTAAATAGTATACATGGAGGCAAGAATAAAGCCTTTTTTCACTCTTGTCAATGCCTTTCTAATCCTTTGCCTTATTTCAAGACTTTCTAGACTTTTTGTCTTTGGCAAAAGCCATTCTAATTCAATATATTAGTATCTTTGAGTGACTTTCTAATCTTTTTGAGTGACATAAGACTTCATTGAATTTTCTTTCCTTGAGATTTATGTCATTAACAAAAATACATGTGAAAATATAACAGATATTTTTGGCTAATGATAAGGCTTTTTAATCTCAATCAATGAAAAGACATTTAATTTCAACCAATAAAAAGATTTTTTTAATATACTATAAAAAACTTATATTTATAGTAATTTGGATCTAATTTTTAATTATTTTATTAGATAATAATTCTATTATATATATATATATTATTAGATACAAAAAAATTATAAATTTTTAATTTATTATTGTTAAGTAAAAAATTGACTATTTGCAAAGAAATATTAATCAAGAATATATATATATATATATATATATATATACATTGATTAAGAAATTTAAATTATATATATATATATATATATATATATATATATATATTCATAACAATGAAATCATTAATATTTCTATAATATTATTAGCAAGTACAATTCTTACTTACTTTAACAACTTAAATAGCTAAGTTAAAGGAATTTTGGCCAAGCCACACTTTCTACATGCTTCTTTTGATTGCTCCATATTATTATGATTATTATCAATGTCATTGTTATCATGCATCTTTATATAAAAATATTTAGCAATAAATTTTAGTACATAAAGATATGTATACTTATTTAGCAACAATTTTTTTATTTCTAAAAAAATTTATAATACCAAATTTCAATACATGATTGTATATAAATTTTAGCTTTTAATATATATATATATATATATATATACTTTTTTGTACATAGAATGGATTGATTTGTGCAACTTGCTGATATTTAAAAGTAATTTTGGATTTTTTTTTGTGAATCCTTGATAATATTTCCAATGTAATAAAGCCATACAATTAATATCATTCAACACTATATTTATAATTTTGTGTTTCTCAAACCAAAATTTTTCTTATAATAAATCATTAAAAGAAAAGAAAAAAAAATGATATTTATGATTAAATAAAATCACATTAAATTAAAAGAATTTTCATAATTATTGTATGGTAAATAACATGCACTCAATTTTTTTTACAAATAAAATATTGAAAAACTAATATGCTTATTTATTTGTGGCAATGGTTTTGAAAAATATAATAGTAAAGAAAGCAAGCTTGAAATGTGTTAAAAAATTGTGTGTAATATTTTTAACATTAAGAATTAAGATTATTATTATTATTTTTAAATCCATAATATTTTGATAAGATATATGCAAGTTTTTTCTATTTTTTAAAAAATAATCCATGCGCTTATGGATATGAATGCAAATTAAATTGAAAATCATTTTGTAAGGTTTAAAAGATTTCCTAAAGTAGAAATTGTAACTTATGTAAGAAACTCTTAAAATTAAAGAAACCACCATATGTATATATATATATAGATATATATATATATATATATATATATATATATTCAATGTATTTTTATTTTAATTTATTTTAAATTTATTAAAATATTTGGCCCATGTAAAAAAAATTATATATTTATTTTAATTAAAATTTTAAAATAAAATTGATTATTTTCCAACAACTATTTAATAGAATATCCTCAAAAGAAACAAAAAATAAATTTTAATTCTAATTCATAAAATTTATAAGATCAATAATTTATTGCAAAAAATCTATTTGAAAATCATGAACAAAAAAATATTTTCATGATTTCTAAAATTTTGTATATATATATCAAGAGAGAGAGAGAGAGAGAGAGAGAGAGAGAGAGAGTTGTAAAAGTTATACCCTAATGTTGATCAAGCCATACTCTCCAAACCATGTGATAAATAATTTTAGAGGACATGGAACAAGGGACGGGAATAGGAAAAGAAGCATATGAATTGGAAATGGAAGATTGAAGATAAAACAACAAGAGAGAGAGACATAGATAGACAGAATTGATCATGAGATGGTAATATAGGGTATAACTTTAACAACATTAGAATGTATCTTTTTTAGTATATGCATTTAATAAATTTATTAATATATGTATGTATATATATATATATATATATATATATATTTATTTATCTAACTTATTTTTTGATTTTTTGATATATATTTATTTATCTAACTTATTTTTTGATTTTTTGCTTATAAAAATATTTCAAATGTATTTTTTATTATCATTTTAGTCTTTTAATGTCAAAGACATCCTTGCAAACTTATATATATATGTGTATATATATATATATATATATATACCAACATACATACATGTTTAATATAATATGTTGGAACACTTGCGAATACTATTGATAAATTATATTAGTTTTGATGCATAAGTATATAAAGAAGAATCCAACTTATAAATCTAGTTTTTGATAGAATGATTTTGAAGTATCATACAAAGGATTCAAGACAAAAATATTGTACATATTTTATTTAGAGATTTTTTTTTATATGTAAAATCATGTGATTTTTATGATATTAAATTATATCAATTTCTTATATAAAATTTTGAAAATCTATTGAGATTAGAAAAAAAGCTTGCTTTGAAATCAATTACTAGAAGAAGTTGAAGAAAAGTACAAATACAATAAAATAAAATTGATATAAATTAATCCATACTTGGAAATTAATATATTTCTTCAATTGAATATATAATTGCTATATACTAAAAACAAAATAGCATGCTTTTGCCATTCTTGATGTTGTTTAAAAACACCCTATTGCAAAAGAAAATTAATTTAATTTTTATTTTTTAAGTTATCTCTATTATTATAATTAAATAGAAATCCATACCATTGGGTACAAAAATTCAATAATATTTTAATTTTTTTAGTTAAAAATCAATAATTCCTAAAAAAGTATCAATTCATATAAATAAACAAAAAACAAGAATCAAATAATAATAGAACCATTTAGGTTTCTTTAGCATTATTAGCAAAAATAATTCTTATTTACTTCAATAACTAAATAGCTAATTTAATATATAAATAGAATAAATTATGCTTATTGTGGTATTTTTAGATTTATTATTTTTAGAATAAAGAATCTTGATTGTATTTAGAAAAGTACATTGTGAAAGGACAACATAAAGTTTTATATTGTGAAAGAATAACATATATTTTTGGCCATAGGGACTTCTTTGTTTCAATCAATTGACTAATAAGAAGGTTTTTTTTTTTTTTTTTTTTTTTTTTTAATCTCTTTGTCTAATAATTAAGCTTTCTTATTTTATATATATATATATATATATATATATATATATATACCAATCCAACTTTATGTTTCTTATTAATAAAAGGGCCCCATTACACCAATGCAACATGCCCAAATTTGATCAAGTCAAAAAATATAGAGCTTCAAGTTTGAATAAAGCTAGAACTCTACTTCTATCATTTACATTGTATTAAATACTAGGTTGGATTATGGTAAAAGATTGTAAAATAAAAGCACAAAATTAAGGATTTGATTGTAGACCATAGTTTAATTCTTTGTTGGTTAAACAAACCAAGGAAACTATGAAAATAAGACTAGTTGCTTATTTAAATAAAACATCAACATCTTCAATAACATTGCCTAAATACACATAATCTAAAAGAGGCTAAAAAATTAGATGAGAATTTGAGAACCACCATCATCATCAAATAAGAACTTTCTAGATACATTGCTACTATTTTCTAGAATAGAATATCCATTTCATGGAAGTTGTGTATACACCTTTATCCAATAGACAGAAAGGTACGTATCCAACAACACAATCTTCTACTTGTATATATGTGCATATACCTATACATACACATATATCTTATGCAATGAACTGGAAAAAATATATTATTTCATTTCAAACTTGAATGTACAAGAAAGAAAGAAAGAACTTGAACATCTTACTGTTTGAAGTTGTGGTTAGGAGACCATGGTAATGAAAATAGCAACATAAACATTTCATAAAAAATAAAAAGAAGTGGGAGGCGTGACTGCATGGCCCGAATCTGAACATTCTTTCTAAACCCAACCTTCCAACTTCTGATTAAGCCTCGAATGTGAGTGCGCCTCTACGTCGCTACACAAATCCTTCGTTCCGCAACAATGGAGGATAGAGGATGCGCAAGCAAGCGGTGCGCTCCGCGGATGATGATGATGTTGCTGCTCTCGGGTGTGCATCTCGGTGGACATCGGATATCGCAGCGAGATGGCGCAAGACCGTTGGGAAGGAAAAAAGGAAGGAAGGGAAGGATGAATTAATGGATGGATGGCAGCCAATTGGCATCGGCACAGACTCGCCACGTTCACCTCCACCACCACCGCAGCCGCCACGCCCACCTCCAAATTTCCCTTCTCCTCAGCTGGCAAGGTTTCGACGATGAGAATCCGAAGCGGCACATTTGCATTCCGGGTTAGCTGAAGTCAATCCTGCTGAGTTCTTAGTTGGGTACCGCTTCTCTGTTTCTCTATTGTTTTTGTTTCATATTGGTTGCGGTGTGGCTTGTCTTTGCTGGAATTAGCTCTGCTTTTTTGTCTGAACAATGTGCATCGTTTGTTGTCGTTGAGCTGCTTGGGTTTATGGGAGTGCGTTGTTGGGTGCTTCTTCTTCTGTTTTTTTTTTTTTTTTTTTTTTTTCTTCTTTTTTTTTTTTTTTTTCCTTCTATTTTTCTCCTGGTGGTCTTTTATTTTCGATTGCGATGCTTGTGAGTGATTGTCGTGAGTAGTAGGGGTTTTGTGTAATTCGCTGTGGGCATGGTCTCGTGCGGGGGGATTGTGCTGCGCTGGAGCTGTTGATTCTCAAGTGGGTTTGAGCCGCTAGGATTTTTGTAGAAGGGAAGAAGCCTTTACTTTCGTGACGCTGGTCACTCGGTTAAAATCACACGCTTACTGATTTGTATGCCAGTTCATTCTTGTCGTGGACTTCTCGCGTGTGGCAGAGCGAAGGTCTTTGGTTTTAGTAACAAACACGTCTTTATGATGGCGTCTGCGTGGGGTACGAATCAGATCATGGCTCTGTACTCGCGGAAGAAGCAAAAGATGTCTTCACCTGAACGTACAGTGCAAGTTTCTGTCTCGCAACCGCTTTCTGCCGTAGGAAAGCAAAATCTAGGTCATACTCTCGCTGAGACACCCGTGAGAACCTACTCTACTCATCCTACATACCCCTTTCCAATTGCAGACCTTCACCCATCGGGAGGGCTGCTGCACTCAGAGTCAATTCTGACATCGGCAGGAAAGGTGATAAAGAAAGGTGACTTGGATCTTCTTTATTTCCAGGCTTTCATCAAAGCTCCTATGGCGAACATGCTGTACAAGCACTTGCTTCATGAGCTACCCTGGTACAAAGTCATGTATATAGCTCGGGGGATGACAATCAACACACCGCGCTACACCACCGTGTTTGGGATTGACGAGACCGCAGTTTTCGAGGCGCCCTCTGACGAAGAGGGTGGGGAATCTGTTGGTGACGACGAAGAGAAGAAACATATCAGAACGCACATACCTGTAGCAGGGCCCAGGGTTTTGTCAGCCATATCCAAGCAACCCGTGCCAGAAAATGTGTACCACAAGCCACCGCGGCCGATCCCTCGTTGCCTGCAGGAGCTCAAGAGGTGCGTGGAGCAAGCTACGGATGAGTACTACAATTTTGTGCTAGTGAATTTCTACGCTGACGGCACACACTCCATCTCGCCTCATTCTGATGACGAATCCTTCCTTGGAACCAACCCTTGCATAGCTTCTCTTAGTCTAGGTGGAACGCGGGACTTCGTAATGAAGCACAAGACGAGAAAGGATGTGAATTCGGAGAAATTTGCACTTCGGAGTGGAGATATGGTGGTGATGCGAGGGACTACACAGGCAAACTGGTTCCACAGCATTCCCAAGCGCACAGGGAAGACGCAGGCAACAGCGCCGCGCATCAATGTGACTTTTCGGAAGTGCATCAATGCTAAGGGAAGCAACAACTACTCCCATTACAACGTTGGAAGTGGACCCATTCATCGCTTTGTGAACGGAGCTATGATGGAGCAGACCATCACTGAGTAGCGAACCCTAAAACTCTGCTGCTTCTGCTTCGAATCCTTCACATCAACGGAGAATGTGGGCACCTTGAAGAGCGTTGGTGGCGTGTTGCACACGCACCTGCATCCATTTTCGCTTCTTCGCCACGGCTGCGTGCTGGGAAGATCTTCCTTGAAGAGCCAATAGAGATTTTTGCTGAATATCTTCATGTTTTGAGGACATCCGATCGAAGACTGGTTATTCGGAGCTTGATAAGCATTCGCGTCCTGTATTCTGATTTGTCCTCATCACCCATTGGGTTCAGATATTGAGTACTGCAATATTCTGTGGCTGTCGAGACACCATTGCCGCCAGTATTGCTCAGTTCATAACAAAGAACCGCTTCATGGCAGACAAATCATGTTACCTTATCATGGAGCAAACTGGAAGACGAAACTTGAGGACGGCAGAAGAAGAATCACCTCACGAATTTGACACGCCGTCGTTTGTCATTCAACCTGCATGTTGCAGACTGAACACCTGATTCTACTTACGGTACCTTTACCTCCATTTGTTAACTGCTGATGCAATTGCCGAAAGTCCATGTCTTCTTCTACTTCTTCTTCGTCTCAGCTTTTCTTTCGTGGCTGTAGCTTCTGTGCAAATGCTTGTTCTGCTCAGACTATTGTGCAGTCAAGCTGGTTGCTGCATGAACTAACTTTCCATGTGGGTCACACAGTAGCATTCAACTCGCCATAGATTCGGGGCAGAGAGCACATAACCTCTGCTTATTGTGCTTGTTATCAAAGAGTAGATTCTTAGAGGGAGTTTTTCTGATTGTTGGAAAGATTAAAACTTGTTTTTACGAAGTGTATACACTAGCATGTTATACAATGTTGAGATTTTGAAAGTGGGTGAGGATTTTGTTTTTGTGTTTCTTCCGCGAATAACATTGAAACAAATCATTTTATTTTGACAAAAAATCATGTTTGAGATACTATTATGTATAATGTGGTTTGACATGCTTTGTTTTTACAACTAAGTATATTACATTTGATTGTATATTATATTTGTTTGCTGCTTAGTTTTGAAATCTTTGAAATCTTTAAAATATTTAAAGTATTACTATGATAATTTTTTTAATTAGAGAGTAAAAAAATATGTATTACATGTGCTATTGTCTATGTATAATCATCAAAATAAATAACATTATTTACAATAAAAATAAAAATAAAATTGTAAAAATCTTTATTATTAAGATATAATTTGAGATTTAAGTTGTGTTTAAAATATTAAATTCATTTTTTTAGTCATACTTAATTTTTGGATCAAACTTATGCCATATAATTAACTATATATTCACTATATCTATATGGTTTATTTATACACCAATTATTTTATGCATTAAATATTATCATTTTTCTTTACCAAATATCATAGATTTTTTTGTAAATAATTTTAATTTCTAAGAAAAAAAATATTAACACGTATATTAATCAATGAATTAATATCTTCACAATCTTTTATATTAAAACCTTTTAGCAATACTACAATCTATTAAATCTATCTAACATCCAATTTTTTTTAAAAATATAAAACTTTCTATTTTATTATTTTATCATGATTATTAAAAATCTATTAATCAACTACAAACGTGTATTTAATAAAATATAAACTTTCACATTTGACTTTATATATGTTTGTAGTTGATTGATAGGTTAGAAATTTGGCCAAAAAATTAGTTACATGTTGCACATGTTAGTAGCTTGTGGTACAAGCTAATGATATGGCACATATATAAGAAACTTGACTTGCAAGTTAAGATATGTGTCTTGCAAATTGGACATATATAAAAGGTCCTATAGAACATCATCATGTAGCTCCAAGTTAGATAGTATATATAGAGGCAAGAGAGAAGTCTTTTTTACTCTTGTCAAGGCTTTTCTAGTTCTTAGTCTTGTTTTAAGACTTTTTAGTCTTCTTGTTTTTGGCAATAACTATTCTAATTTAATATATTATCATCTTTAAGTAATTATTTAGTCTTTTTTGAGTGATACAAGAATATATTGAGGTTTTAGTTTTTTCAAATTTATGTCCTTAATAGTTTGATAAGAGTGATAAGTCATTATTCTTCTCTTGTTTTAAAAATAAATAGAATATTCTACTTCTATTGTTATATTTTGAAGGTTATAGACTATCTATCTTCAAACTAACATTTTAGTTTTTAAATATTGATTGTATTTTTTAAAGAAAGTGGTCTACCCTTCTTTGTAGAAACTTTCATTTGATATTTTAGATTGTAGATTATCCTCCTTTAATTTGATTTATAGATTTGTTTGAGTTGTCTATGAAAGAAAAAAAATGTGGAAGCTGCTTTTGGCAAAAGTGTGAATAGATTTACAACTATTGCACATCTTTATAGGCTTGTTAACACTTTTAGGGTGGATATTTCATATATCTCTAATATCAATCATAGAAGTAGTATTCTAATGCTTATGAAAGATGTCAACAATGAAGTTCAAAATCTATACTAAAAAATTGTACAATTGAAAGAAGCAAGTAGGTCAAGTTTATAACTTAATCCAAAGAGAGTTGCTACTATAAGTATTAAAGATGCAAGGATAAGTATGCAAAAGAATTTTGATAGAACATGATCAAAATTTTGATGATTTTTGTAATAAGTAAAGCTCTATCTAAGATTACATCTTTCTTAATACTTTGATGGATTTACTCAAGTTGAATTTATAGGTGCATTGCTTTTTAAGAATACTCTCTCTTAATTTTTACCTTTCATAGAAAAAATTCACATCTTTTCTATAATTTGAATTCATTCTTAAAAGTATATATGGCTACTTTCAGAGAAAGTAATCAAGAAATGGTAGCAAAGACCAAACTTGCATCTTTATGACAAAGATCACATTCAGCTATTATATATACTACTAAATTCCAAAACCTTACTTGCAACGTAGATTAGAATGACAAAGCTCTTATTAACCAATTTTGATATAGATTAAAAGATAATGTCAAAGATTTATCGTTGATAATTTAAAAAGTAGATTTATTTGAGAAATTTATTACTTAAGCCATTGCATGCAATAATTGATTCTTTAAAAGATGACAAGAACAAACATTTAGTTGAAGAAGTACAAGTTTAGATAAGGCAATAGCTTCTAAGTTCACAAAAGCTTATTCATCAAGACCAAAATCTATGCAAATTGATATAGTATGTTTTAAATCTCTTATTGATTAAAAAAAGACTTGATATTATCAAGAAGATTTGTGTTTATATTGTAGAAAACCTAAGTACATTACTCAATATTATTTATAAAAGTAATATAACTACAAAAAGAGAAGCTTGGTTGCTAAAGAGGACAATGTATTAAAAATAAATGTTTCTAGCTATGGTAAGGACCGTTGTTATATTATATATCTTCATATTTGGAAATGCACCAAGCATCTATCTGTGGAAGGTGAAATTATATTTTAGAACTATCTAAGAATTTTAATATGTTACACCTTTATAAAAAGAATGCAATTTGAATTTTAACTCAAAAATACTTAAATCCAATATCAAGTGCTCAAAAACACTTTACTTAGTAATTTCAACTATACATAAATTCTAATTGCCTTATTACTTTCATAATTAGGTATTTTTTTTTATTTTTCTTTGCAAGCCCTAATCCCAATCAACAAGTTTTAGCAAGCTGTAGTTCTTAATCTAACTATTCACTTGGAGCAAAATTTTGCATATAAATGCCGCTATAAGTCTTTTATGTGTTCAAAAGAATTCATTCCAATCCAACTTATAGATCATGAAAAAACGCTTGAAAACCACATTGATATTACTTGGCTATCAACTTGAAAGTTGATGCAAATATTTCAGGAATGATTTTTCCTTCTCCAATTATTAACTTCAATTCAAAATTGATATGTAGCTTGATCTTTAAGTCTTCTAACACTTTGCCAAATTTCACTTTGATCTAACTAATAGACCTTCAGATATCATAGAAATCCTATTCAACTCCAAACTGCTAACTTTTGATATCTTCTTATACCAAAATCTAGATATCTCTCAATCGCATCATTAGATTATCACAAAATTTTACATACACTTAGCACGCCTAATTAAACAAGTATTATCAAATTTTAAATTATAGATATAGTAACAATTTTATGAACTAGCCAAAAGTACTAACTCTAATTGTATTGCATAAATTCCAAATCACCAATATAAACCTTGATTTTGAACAACAATTACAAAGTTAAACCAAATCCTACAAAATATGCATAACATCTTTAAAACAAGCTCTAAGCCAGCTCTCTAATCTTAATTACTAATCTTTGAATATCCTTGTATTTTGTCCTAAGCAATTGTTTTAGTCGCTAGAGATTTGATTTGAACCCTGTTTCACAAATAATTGATCCTTGGATTTCAATCTAATCTATTTTAGGGATTTTTTTAGCCCAACCCTACCTTCAACTTAATCTTAGTATCAACCATATTAATTATTTATCTCTTTTAATCTGATTTTACTAATTTATGGTCTTTCTAAGGCAATAAAAGAGTCTCTATAGCCTAGAAGGTAAAATTACTAATCAACCTTCAACATACTAACTACTAAGACAAGAAAATAAACTAAAAGGATTTTATAAAAGCCATATTTAAATATCTTGAATTATTATTGAATCAAGATAATTAGATATTAATTAGAAATTTATTTTTGATTATATTTTTATCATATAGTCGTATTACAATATGACATTATGCAAATGCAATCTTGTAAAATACTTTATAAAGGTCCAATTTTCTCCTTAGATTTTCCATTTGATTTATAGTAGAAGTTTGCTTAGGACCAAAAAATCACAAAATCTTTGCTTTGTTAGATTTAGAAGCCTCACTTTGTTTTATAGATGAAAACTTTGTCAAAAAACAAAAAATATCCTTAGTCAAGAAAACTTAATCATTTAGAAGTAATAGATGGTTTTTTGTTGTATTTTGGAGGTATTATTTATGAAATTGGTTCTTTAGATATAAGAATTAATGATCATAATATCTTAATAATATTTAATATAATTAGATCATCTTCTAATGCAATCATTTTAGAGTTATTGTAGCAAGAGAAGTCTAATCCTCAAATAGATTAGATTTCTTATAATTTTAATTTTTTATATAATTTAATCAAATATTTTATTAGTCTACTAAAAAATCTATAAGTATAATATAATTAAATCCTTATTAGTAGATGCAAGAGCTTTCATGCATGTTGCAAAAGAAGGATCATCTTTTTTTATATACGTCACATCCATTTTTAATGGTAGAAAGATTATAATCAACGTACTAAATCAATACAAAGATTATCAAGATGTTTTTGAGAAAAAATATACAAATATGTTTTTAGAGCATTGTTTTTATGATTCTTCAATTGATTTTCAAGAAGGAGCTTAAGTGCTATTTGAACAAATCTATAATTTATTACAAAATGAGTTGACTACTCTCGAGAAGTACATTGACAAAAACTAAGCTTAGAACTTCATACACCATTCATAACATCTAGCAACTAGTCCTATCTTATTTGTAAAGAAAAAAGATAGATCATTATAAATATGAATAGACTATCAAAGACTCAATAAGATCACTATCAAATATAAGTATGCTTTACTTTTAATTTTAGGATTTCTTGATTAATTCAATCAAACAAAGATCTATAGAAAAATAGATCTACAAAGAGCAAAGAACTTGATATGCATCAAAAAAGGAGATGAATAGAAGATTATATTTTGAACCATATATGGATATTTTAAATATAATATCGTATCTTTTAGACTCAAAAATATACCATAATGTCATACCTTTTGGACTCAAAAATGATGTACTTTTCAACATCTAAAAAATAATTTTTTTTGAGAGTTTTTTGATGATTTTATCATCTATTATCTAAGTTATATTCTAATCTATTCTAAAAATATAAAAAATACAAACTCTATATTTTTCATGTA